TGACAGGAGTGGGATTGCCTTACTCCAGCAGGGAGTCTGAGGTATGGTTTGAGATGGTGTCCCAAGGGCAAACACACTTAAAACAGAATAATCGTGTGGTTTCCCATTTTTGCTTGCAGGTTTGTTTCTTGTGTCTCCCTGGGCACCAACTTCTCCTTTCCATGAGGAGCCCACAGGAGTGTTTATGCTTTTTGGCTTTGGTGTGTGGGATTTCTCTAGGTTACCCATCACCTTCATGTTCTAACTCCTCTCCTTCTTTCCCAACAGCAGCATTTGCTTTTCTTCCTCCTGCCTCTCTTCCTCCAAGGAACATTGTACTTGTCCAGGTGGGTGTTTCTGTGCTGCAGCACCAGAAAATCCTCCTTGCTGCTGCTACTCCTGGGGCTGTCAGCAGGATTCCCATCAGTCAAGCATGGAGATGCCTGCCTTTCCACACCATCCTGCTGTCCCAGCAGGGCTGGCAGCGTGCTGTGTCACGTCCAGGTTCGCCTGCTGGTGCCTGGCCACGTCTGTCCTGTGCTGTCACCTCTCTGTCATCCCAGGTTTTGTGTGGCTCTGTTCCTGCAATGCCTGCACAGAGATGCTTCTCCCAAGGGCTGGGGACACGTGTCAAGGATCTCCCCTGACACGTGTGTTAGCTTTCTGTACCAGCCTTGGGCCCTGGCATGCTGTAGTGTGGCTGTTGCCCTAATTCTCAGCTCTTTTGGGCTGTGACTCTCTGGACCAGTTATTGCCTTGTTCGGGCCATTTCTGCAGTGGAGCTCGCTGCAGGGACAGCCACTATCTCACTCCAGAGCCCAGAGTCCTCCTTCAGACTTCTTTTAGGTAGTTTTTGCCCATCAGAAAAATGCCTCTGCAGGCTCCAGTGCTGGAGGGACCCTCCTGGAGGGACCCTGCCCTACAGCAGGGAAGGAGCTGTCAAAACCAGGGGTACAGCCTTGCTTCCTATGGCTCGTGGACACCTATCTTGGTGTAGGAGGTGACTCCCATGTCTCCTTCCCTCATTAGCAGGAGTAGAGAGCAGGCAAGTCGGAGGGAGCGTGGGAGCTGGAGCAATATCGGGCTCTCCCTTTGCTGTGCTTGGAGGCAGATCTTCCTCTCCAGCTCCCTATTTTTAACGTTGCCTTGGGCCAGCCTGGCTCCAAGAGCTGCTGCCCCATTGTTTCTGTGGCTGGGTGACTCTCGGGGAGGCTTTATGGCCAGGGGAGATGGTTTAGATGTTGGATTGGGGCTGACCCATGTGACGGATGAAAGTGATACCGAGTGAGAGCCGTGGGTGGAGCGTGCTCTGCGGTCAGCACTCAAATATGTGCCAGTGTTTATAGAGAGCTGGTGGGGTGGGTGCAGCTGCAGAGCAAACATCCCTCTGTTCCCCAGCACTGGGAATCCCAGCTTGGCACCGGGACAGAGTGAAGGGTGCCTGGTGGGCTGTGGGACTGGGTGCTCGCACGTCACATTCTCCTCTTTCCATAGCTTTACGTGGGGTTTCATAAAGTCCTTTCTCTTCTTTCCCTGCCTTAAACAAAAGGCCTTTGAGTTTCCCTGCTGCTGCAGCTTTGTTATCTTCTACACCTTGTTGTGTCTGCTTTTAAGACAGCTTCCTCAATAACCCCCCTCTAAGCTGTAACCTCAGATCCAGATCCCAGCACAACTGGTTAACTTCTCAGAGGCTGCCTCCTCTGCACCCATTTCAAGTCAAGCTGTTTCAGTAATTACTGGCTGCCTGAATTTGGAAAGCATTCCATGAATCCCTGTGTGTGCGACCAGGAGCTTGCCTCCTGCCCAGGGTTGTGACAAGGATGAGTGCCAAGTGCTAGGAGGAAAAGAAAATCTCTATTTTTGCTTTTGCCTGTTCTTGTTTTCTCTCTGCATGAACGGTACGTAATGTAGAACAACCTGTATTTCAGTCACTCTCCAGCTGTGTGAGAGGAACTGGACAAACCTGTGAAGTTTTGTGCTTCTTGCTGATTTCAGACTGACTTTCTTGAAAGGCAGCTCAAGTCCTCCAGCATCCTCTATGGGTTAACTTGGAGTCTGCCTTTCTTTCAAAAGAGCTTGCTCAGGTACCATCCTTCTGGTTTTGACATACACAAGTAGGTAACAATGAGATGGTGCTTCCTGTTAATGAGCACCTGGTTCTTGGCGTGTGTTTTACAAGTGCTCATCTCGGTTAAGGAGATGAACAGCTGTAATAGGAATTCCTAGGAGATGAAGACCATTACAACTTGTCTCACATGAATAATACTAGCCAAAATACTGGCCAGAATTACTTGTAAGAGCTACTTAATCAAAACTTCTTCTTTTCTCAGATTTCTGGGATACTTGACAGTCCAAACCAGTTGTTCATGTTTTTAAACTGCTGCAGTTCTGCCCTTTTAGGAGAAAATGTACGTAAAGTTTTAGAAAGTAAGACATACAAGGAAGAAGTTCTTCCCTGTGAGGGTGCTGAGGTGCTGACACAGGGTGCCCAGAGAAGTGGTGAATGCTCCATCCCTGGCAGTGTTCAAGGCCAGCTTGGACAGAGCCTTGGGTGATGTGGTCTAGTGCGAGATGTCCCTGCCCATGGCAGGGGGTTGGAACTAGTTAATCTTAAGGTCCTTTCAAACCCAAACCATTCTGTGAGTCTACAGATGGACGGGTGTGTAACTGCATTTTGATCTAAGATGATGCCCAAGAGGCTGTTTAACAGGCGAAGAATGTCAAAAGATAGACACGGCAATGACTGTGTAGTGACTAGGTCAAGTTTTGGACTTCAAAGACATTTGGACAAAGCCTTTAGGTTTTGGCTCAGTATTTAGTTATTTTCATGTTTTCAAATGTAAGATACCGACTCGGAAGGGCTGGAATTCTCTGGCACGAACAGCAGCTTCCTCTGTTGTTTGTTTGAGGCAGAAAAGTTCAGCTAACAAATGCAGAGCACAGAACGAGCTAATACTGTGTATCTCGTTATTGCGACGCACGGATTCATCAGAAGCCATCTTCTGCTTTCAGTGCAGAGACTGATACAGCAGGTACCTGCACAGGAAGTATTTTAAGAGGCTGAGAGCACAATATAAATCCAAAAGGGACCTTTGGAAATAAGGGCCAGACATTAATGGGAATACTTGATTGCTGGTATTTGAGCAAAGAGCAGGTTGATGGAGTGGCTCGGGACTGAGAGGGTGATGAGGACATGAGCTCAATGCTTGTTTCATCTCCAAAAGCTTGCCCTGGGTTTCATCCCTTCGTGTGGCATTGTGCTGAGCTCCAGCAGGCTGAATGTCCTCTGCTGATTGTCCTCCTGTAAGGCTGAAGGTCCTCTGCTCCGACAGCAGCTCCAGGTGCCGGCCTGGGGACATCATGCTCTCTATGGCTGCTGAGCCCTGTGGGCACCAGCACCACGGAGCTGATCGTACCAGTCTGCTGGAAAAAGGTTAGGAACTGCTACTGCCTGAGCACAAGGCCCTGCTTTTGGGAGTGAGCTGGAGAGGTTGCAGCGTAGGAGAAATTCCCTGGGATAAAGCTCGCTGTGAGCAAGCCTGTCATGCGTTGGCTGGCTGGCTCTGTGATGGATTTCTGTTGGAGAAGCCATGCTGTGACTGCTGAAACTGCTGCTGGAGCACGTAGGTAGCCAGCCTGGATGGAGGTTTGGGATTTGGGATTACCCATGGGAGCCCTGCACGTGGATCCCTGTTGGAATTACTGCCTAGCCTGATGTCCACCACTGTTTAAATACTGGGCTAAACCGCAACCGGTTCATTGCAGCCACAAAGGGCTGTGCTTGTACCTGTTAGCTTAAACTGACAAAATATATCCTGATTCACCCAATTGATTTCTAGTAACTGTTTTGTTGGGTGAGGAGCTCCCTCCCCAGCAGTGGAGGGTTGTGCTTATGGCACAAGTGCATTGCTATACAGCAAAACCTCTGTGCTGTGCCAGGGACACCGAGATCCGTGTATAAATGCATCCCCTTTCCTTCCCAGCTGAAACCAGGCAGCACCGTGAAGTGTTTTAGTGCTGTAGGTGTGACTACACCGGGTGGTTCTGATAACACAACTGTGTTTATTAAAGGATCACATTTCTTCCACGGCACAACTTCATTTTCAAGAGCACAGGAGTTTGCACAGAGCAGACAGATGGCCTCAAACGAGCTTCTGCTGCAAATGACTTCTTGAATCTTAGGTACAAGGCATGATTCAAACCTGACTGCTGGAGGTGCTAGGAAAAAAGATGAGAGCCTCCAGCGCTGCAGTCTGTTACCCAGCTTATTCCCAAAATCGGGCTCTTGCTACTGAGAGCTGACAGCGGGGTTCAGAGATGAGAAATGGTCAGAAAATAGCACAGTCTGTGCAGCCCTTTGCTCTGAACAATGTCCAAGCTGCAGAAGAGTCAGCATCGGCCCTCTGCAAACGCTGCTCTGTGGTCCCAAAAGATGTAGGTCACACAAAGTATTTATGATTAACCCTCCCTGTTATAGTATGAATCTTCAGCAAAGGATAATTACTTTAATTAGTTCTCAGTGTGTTGTACTATCTGTGGAGAGATGCTTACCCACCTCCCTGGAGAGTGGATCTCTAAAGGATCTACTGAAGTGGGTTAGGAGGTAGTTGTGTCCCCATGGCACAGTACAACGCTAAAAGCAGTGTGACAGGATCAGCTATGGGCCAGGAAAGGTTAAAGTCTGCCGCAGGGTGCGGGCTGAACCTGTGCTGTTTGATACTTGGCTCAGTTTAATGATTCTAAGTTTCTTTCCTTGTTACATTGAAGTATTTAAGCCCTGGCTATTTTGCTTTTTGCTAGTGAAGACAAGGGCTCACATCTGACTTTCTCCTGATGCCCAGGTCAGTCTTGGAAGAACCAAGCAGCTCACCCTTTTCTTGCACACTCTTTAATTCTGCTTCTTATCAAAAAATAAGCTCATTTGAGCATATCTCTGTCCACACACACCTCAGGAATAAGCACTGGTACAGCTTATCTTCCATATTCCCCAGCAAAACCCAATCGTGGCCGCTTCTTGCCGCTCACACCGGCCTGCCTTGGAAGGAAAGAGCTATTTTGAGCAGTTCTTTACCCAGTTCCTGGTGCCTTCCCCCTGTGCTGAACTCCTCGGAGAGCTCCCGGAACGTGACGCAGACGCGGCGGCGCTGGATGTGCCTGCGGTGAATGGCGTGTTTCCAGCGGTACCGCGCCTCGCCGTAGAGCACCACCAGGCACCGCCGCGGCAAGGGAATGGCAACAGCCACCTCCCGACTCGGAACGAGGCGCGGGGACAACGTGCAGCTGGGTCCCTCGCCACCTGAGTTTTGGCACGCTGATGTAGAAGATCCCGGGGGATTTAATTCCCCGCTTCCCTTACTGGAAGTGGGAAGTAATTGGATGTTGTCCTTTGAATCGCAAGACATGGATAGCACGGTATCTGAGAGCAAGTTTAAGCTCACCAGACGCTCTCCCCAGAGCCACCAGTCGTCGAAGTGTGGGTCGATGGCAGAACCTCTTTCTGGCATGTAGTCCAGGTTACATTGTTCAACAGGTAAGAAACCACCCAGCACGGAGCAGGCCTCCATTTGTGCCACAATCTTCTTGCTAAAACGTGGCAAACCGGTAAAGCTGCCAGCCTTCAGCCTTTGTTTCTTGAAGTTCACTTTGGGACCATAGTCCTGTAGGAAAAGAAGAGGTGGGGGGGAAATCTCTTGTTAAGGACAAATCTAGGACAAGTCTTTTTGGAGAGGCTGCAATCCCTACAGGGCTCACGGTCAAGACTTTGAGTTCAGTTCTTATCTGTTCCAGCGACCTGGTCACCAGGTTGCAAAAGGACTCAGTGAAGCCACGTTAATCTCTCTGGAATTAGACTTCCCACCTGTAAAGTCAAACCAAACCACCCACTTCTTTGGCTTGGAGATTGTGTGAACTTTAATGCCCGAACACACATAAACATACTGTTTATTGTAACAATCATGTGGTTTTGCCATAAGCTGACTTTAATGACAAGTAATTCTTGCTTTCAAAGGAAAACCTCTAATGAAACATCTAAAGATTTTGGGGGTTTAGCTGGGATCTCCTTTCCCAGAGGGATCTAACATCAAATGTGCTTCTAAAGTCAGACCTGTTTCTTTCGGCCAGACTGTGACGGTTTCCAGTCATCTCGATCCATCAGTTCAACTATCTCAGATTCCTCATCTTCACTAATGAACTCCTCCATCAGGAACACCCCTGGAAATGGAAATGCCCAGCCAGCAAATTCCGAGTGCTCGTTTCCTTTAGCTAGGCCCGTTGCTGGACAGTAAGTGAAATTATCTTCTCCCTGTGGAAATAACAGCAGAGAAGAAAAACCATGGGGGAAAAACGTCTCACGTTAAGGTATTTCTATGATTTACCCCTTGCAACCTTGATATTAATTGCACAGGATTCTTGTAGATGTGGGAAATGTCACAGCTGCTTTCGGGGAACAAATCTTCCCTGCTTCTTTTACAGCTGCAGCATCACTGTGCTGCCTCAACCATGGAATGGTTTGGGTTGGAAGGGACCTTAAGGCCCATCCAGTTCCAACCCCTGCCCCGGGCAGGGACACTTTCCACTAGAGCAGGTTGTTCCTGTGTCCACCCTGGCCTTGACCACAGCCAGGTATGGGACAGCCACAGCTTCTCTGGGCACCCTCCCAGGGAAGAGCTGTGAAGCTGCTTTTCTTTCCTAGTAGTGCCTTTATCCTGCAGCGACTGATCCTCAGCGCCCGAAGTACCAGGAGGTTAATGGTCGGTATTGCTCAGGGCGGCTGCAGAGACGCGGTTTGTCATCCCAACACACGTCGGATGAGGGAAGTTAAGCCACCGCCAAGGCCAGGGGGCCGCGCTGCAGCGTTCCTCGGTGCACGCCGCC